GAAGTGGTGTTTAGTGCTGGCCCTGAAATGGGGTTTTGTGAGGGGTCAGCACCCTTCAGCTGAGATGCCCGGGTTTGGGGCTCACGGTCCATGGAACTCTCCTAGGAGTGTCAGCCTTGAAATGTGAAGCTGGGCAGGATGGAAGGATTAGTTCAACAGAAGAAAGTGTATGGGGGGGGGGGGGGGGCGGGCAGGAAACCCCTGCTGGGACTGGAGACCTGCCTCAGGCTCTTGGGCCTGCAGTGTAGCGTCTGGGTGCGGGTGGAGTCCTCGGCGCTGCCCCAGTCTACGGTACAGGAATCTCCAGTTTGGGGTGCGGTGACGAAGACTTCATTCCGTGCAGACAGTCTCAGTGGTGGTGCTAGAGCACAGCTGTGACACACAGGAGAAATGCAGTCCCCTCCTCGGGGGTCTCCTAGCCAGAGGGGAGCTGGCTTATGTGGGCAGAAATCCCCGCCCCTGGTCCCGGATGGTTCCTAATTGTTCCATCCTCATGCAAATGAGGACTCCAGATTCTCTGATTGCTCCAGAGGCACTGTCCTGATTGGTCAAAATAGAGCCACTCTGATTGGCCAGAGCTATGCAGCTCTGGGGGGGGAAGGCCTCAGTCCTGTTGGTTGAAATAAGATTCCAGGAACTCCTTTATCGGGGCTGACTGGGGTGGCGGAAACACGGTGCAGGCCTCTCCCTGAAGGGCAGTTGGCGTGAGAGGCCCTTCTGTAGAAAGCGCTGCTGGGCTCTGTTTCGCTCTGTTTTAATTTGAGCCTCGTTACCACCAGGGGCCCTTCTTAGTAGCTGTCTTTCTCAGGGTTCACAGTTACTACGTCCTTGACTTGCCCAGGCAAATAGATAACTAGTTGAAGTTGAGTTTGTTTAAAATGGGGGAGCAGGGGCTTGAGGGTAACACAGTCACTGGTGGTATGACAGTGCCAGAACCCCCCAGCAGCCCGCACGTGGCCCTGAGGCGGCCTGAGGCCCTCACTGGCTGGAGCAGGGGCTGGCTTGGTCGCCCGGTCCTGTGTCCCCCGTCCTTCCTTGTCTCAGTCCCACATGTGGTTTCTCCTGTAGGGCCAGGTGCGCCTGTCCAAGAAGATGCTGGACCCGGAGAAGCCCCAGCTGGGCATGATTGACCGCTGGTACCACCCAGAGTGCTTTGTTGAGCACAGGGAGGAGCTGGGCTTCCGGCCCGAATACAGTGCGAGCCTGCTCAAGGGCTTCAGCCTGCTGGCTCCCGAGGATAAGGAAGCCCTGGAGAAGCAGCTCCCGGGAGTCAAGAGCGAAGTGTGGGTGGAGGGCCAAGGGGAGGAGGGGGTGGGGGGTTCAATGAGGGGCTTGGTGGAGGCCCAGAGATCCCACAGATGCCATACCAGTCCTGTGTGTCCCCTGGCTAATTTGAGAAAGCCCGGATGCCGACTGAGGGGTGGCACGGCTCAGCGCTGCCTCTTCCCCGGCTGCGGTAGTGGAGGGCAGCAGGAAGGGCCGTAGGGTGCTCTTGGTGTCTGATCTGTGGCCCCTGCGTGACCCAGTTTCCTGTCCCCGTGGCCTCCTGTGGACATGTTCCTTTGTGTCTGGGTGTCTCTGAGAAATGGTGCTGGGAGGATCGTCACAGGTTTTTAATGAGTTAGGAGGGGAGCAGTTCCCTGGTTTAAGGTTTGGAATGGCACGGGTGTCATGGTGCTGACATTAGGATGGGCAGACCTACCAGTGACTCCGTACTGGGTTGCCCTGAGGCTCTGGAGCAACCCCGAGATTGCTCCTTGGCAACCAAGTATGTTCTGAAGGGGATGAAGTCCATGCAAACGCTCCCTGAGAGGCGGCAAGCTGGGCCTGCAGAGAAGAGAGGAGATAACAAGATACGTCATTGGATGTCTGCGTTCTCGTGGCTCTGGTTCTCTCTCACATTCTGCGTCTCTTTCAGAAAGAGGAAAGGTGACGAGGTTGATGGGCTAGACCAAGTGCCCAAGAAGAAACCTAAGAAAGAGAAAGACAAGCTTGAAAAGGCTCTCAAGGTGAGTTCTGAGCTGTGTCCTTGGCCATTCTGCCCAGTTCTTCCCTCGCTCTGGGAAGAAAGCTCAAGGCGGTGTGTGTGTGTCCCTTACCCAGACCTTCAGGAATTCCCAAGCTGATAGCTGCTGTTAAAAGGCCTGGTTCCCCCCCGCCCCCCGGTGGCTTCCTTCCTTCCTCCCAAGGGAACAGTTCCTGTTTGAGGAGAACTCCCCTTGGGCTCCAGGTGCCAGACCAGCACCCAGGCTCATGCAGGAGCTGAGTCAGGCCCCAGGCACCAGCCTCACTGAGCTGGTAGAGTCCTGCTTCAGCCACACGGTACATCAAATGAAGCTATTGTTTAAAAGAAAAAGGAAGAGAAGTCAACATAGTGGAAAGAGGGCTACCCGTTGAATCAGTAGTCATTGACCAGAGATTCATCACTGTTGGTTACACATGCATTGAAGCAAAGTACAGATTATTAATCAGAAAATGCCAGCTATTTGGGGATCTAGGGGAGAACACACAGTCTCTCTCAGGAACTTGGTTTCCATGAGGCATCTGCTTGGCTCTCTTACATAAGCATTCAGTTTTTTCCAGTGGTGTGAGAAATTAGAAGCAATTTCTCATCTTGTTCCAGTTGTTTGACCAGAAGGACAATGTGGTGTGGTTGCCCTTCGTAAAAAGCGTTTGCTGTGGCCCACAGCTGGCTGCAGTAGAGGGCGGTGCTGTTCGCACTGAGGAAATAGGTGGTTGGACACCCCCTCCCCCATGCACTCTCAGATTGGGGAGAGCAGCCACGCCCACCTCCCTGGCGCCGGATGTCGGGCTGACAACCCTGGGAGCTTCCAGGCTCCTTCCTGAGTCTCCGGGCGTTGGTTTCTGAGTGGCCGATTCCAGGGACCCAGGTTCCCGGACAGCAGCCCTCCCCTCGTCCCTCCGTGGTCTCCCCACCTCCCTGGTGGTGTTGAGAGGCTGTGCTCTGGGCTTACCTTGGTGTCCACAGGAGGGACTGGGCGCACACTTCCCTGTTGCTGAGACTGACATTGGGGTGCAGCTCAGTTAGGATGTGGTTGGAGACGAGCAAGGCCAATGGGGTCTCCCCTGGAGGTGGGTTTCTCTCTCTGAAGAGCTGGTCTCTCAGCGGCTGGGTCTTGTCCACAGGCCCAGAACGACCTGATCTGGAACACCAAGGATGAGCTCAAGAAGGCGTGCTCGACCAACGACCTGAAAGAGCTGCTCATCTTCAACAAGCAGCAAGTGCCCTCCGGGGAGTCGGCGGTGAGCTGCCCCTGTGTTACGTGAGCCGTGGGAGGCGGCCAGGCCGCCGTGGAGTGACTGTCCTCTCGGACGGTGGGAGGCCCTCGGTTGAACACCTGCCGGTATTAATTGGGGGAGTGACAGTCCATAGTTGTGTTGCATGGTCATCATCATCATCATCATCATCGGGGTCACCATTTCCCAGGGTCAGGAAGGGGCGGGCTCTCCCAGGCCCTTCCAGGCGTCTTCCCCAAGGCAGCCCTTGGTTTAGGATTTTGGTGAGGACTGACGTGGGCCTCTGTTTGCCTTGTATATTCACGCCACACTGGCCTGAGGAGCTCTCCGCTGCCTTCTGCCCGAACTGCCCTGGCTGTGAGGCCTGTGGAGGGAGCAGGACCACCTCGTGAGACCAGCCTCCCCAGCAGGCCTGCCCTGCCGTCTCTGGGGAGAGGGTGGCACTGTTCTGTGCAGAAGCAGTGGGTGCTCTGGCTCTCCCTTTACCTCTAAATCCCCGAGGGCAGTGGGAACTGCAGGAACATGCGTGGACTTAAAAGTACAAAAATCTAAGCTCCACCTGTCAACCAGCCGGCCAGCGGGTGGGCAGTTCGCGAGCCGGGGGGCCAGCCCTCTTGTGTGTTGGTGAGAGCAGTTTGTGCAGATTCTTCATCCCACGCGGGTAGCGTCACTCTGTAGCCGCTCCTTTGTCTCTGACACGCGTCTCCACTGGCAGATCCTGGACCGCGTGGCTGACGGCATCGTGTTCGGTGCCCTCCTGCCCTGCGAGGAGTGCTCGGGCCAGCTGGTCTTCAAGAGTGACGCCTACTACTGCACGGGGGACATCACTGCCTGGACCAAGTGTATGGTCAGGACCCAGACGCCCAGCCGGAAGGAGTGGGTGACTCCCAAGGTAAGTGGGGGATCCTGGGGTCTGTCGCCAGAAAAACATGGTCCCCTCACTCCGAGCTGCCACGCCGGCAGGGCAGCTTTCTGCAGACGTCTTACAGCTGATCCGTCCTCATAGTTAGAATATAAAATTCTATTATTGGCTCCATAGTTTAAACACTTCACAAATGTAGAACCACAGCACTTCGTGCTGGAGTGCAGGTTTGTCCAATCGGAGTAAAGTCCTCCTGCTGGCAAAGACTGGATCATTTCGGTTCCTGCTCAGCAAGTGCTTACCGGTGCCAGGCACTGTTCTAAGCTCAGGGGACAGACGGGGAGTAAGTGGATCATTCCTGCCTCTGTTAGAGTTTTTCTTAGGAATATTTCTTTGCTTTTATGCTGAAGGGGGAACTGGTTCCAGGGTTCAATTATCTTCTATTTTGATCTCTTATAATGGAGCTACATGTTGATTCTCAGGTGCGAAATCTCAATTGAGGAACCTCATTTGGAATAGTGGGCGGGGTGGGGGGGTATTGACAGTGTCTTTGGGGGCTTGGCTGCTGGAAGGACTCCACCTGTGTCCTCAAACTCAGCTTGAGCTGGCACCCAGCTGCCTGGGGCAGAGGTGGGACTGCCACTAACTAGGATTTGGGGTTTGATCATCCAGTTATCTCTCCCTGTGCGTACTTCCGGGGGGCGAGCATTGGAATGGCGCCCTGTAGGAAGCACTTGGTCGTTGGGACTTGAGTGCCCCATGGGCACTGCTAACCCAGCATCTGGAACAGGACTCCATGGTTCCGCCGGCCCTCCTGCCCGGGCTCATTCGTTTCCTGCCTCCTCTGCCCACTGCCATAATTTACTCCCTCCCTCAGTCCTTTCTCTGTACGTTTTCTTGAGTGATCACTCAGCAAATTTGGCCTTGTTGCTTCCCGCACCCTTAATATCGTATAGTGATTCCTCAGTTCCTATAGAAATACTAGTATTTTCAGTTTTTCTGGTATGCAGGTGTAACAGGCCCTTTTATGGTATTTGTATTCCTTCTATCTTTGAGAAAATAATAAAGTAAATAATGTGAACTATTTTGTGCTTTTTGTATCAACCAGAGGCCTGGTGCATGGATTCGTGCACCTTGAAAGTAAATTAGAAGGTGGCCAGCGGGGCGGGCGTGGGCGAGACTGGCCAGACACACCCTGGAGCCGACCTCCTGTGGTCCCTCCCTGGCCGGCCGCACCTGGGGCAGCGCCGAGGCTCGAAGGGCGTCTGTGGAGTGGTGGGGGCGGGGTCTCTCCGGCAGGTGGGGGTCCCTCGGGCTGGCCTGTGGGGATAAGCCTAAAACGTCAGTCCGAGGGGCCCCAGAGTGCGAGAGGGCACTCTGGAAAGTTGCTGTCGCTCAGCAGCTCCTGCATTGAGCATCTGCCCCCTGCTGGTCATTGCACATCATAGCTACCGGTTGGATTGTTGCTTAGATTGCACAGCATATATATACATGTGAATATATACTTTTTTCCCAAGGATATGTTTATTGATTTTTTTAGAGAAAGGAGAGGGGAGAGAGAGAAACATCCATCAGTTGTCTCCTACTTATGCCCTGACTGGGAATCAAGCCCACAACCTTTTAATGTACTGGACAGCACTCCATCCAAGCCACCCAGCCAGGACTAGCATCTACCTATGTTTTTAAACAAGTGTTTTAAAAGGGTATCTGCAGCCCTGGCCAGTGGCTCAATTGGTTGAGCATCACCCCATACACTAAGAGGTCCCCAGTTTGATTCCCAGTCAGGGCACATGCCAGGGTTGCGGGCTTGATCCTGGTAGGAGGCATGTGGGAGGCAGCCAATCGATGTTTCTCTCTTTCTCCCTTCCCCTCTCTCTGAAATCAATAAAAATGTATTTTTTAAAAGATATCTGCATGTATGAGTCATTTTTCTCAGGTCCACAGCTTGCTTGTTGCCCATGCAAGTTCATGGATTTGTAGACTCCCCAGGGTCTTGGCCCACAGAGTCAAGGTCAGCTCCTTAGCATGGAACCCCCAGCCCTACCCAAAGCCCTTCGTGATCTGGCTGTGTTGGCCTTCTGTGGCCCTTTTCTGCCACCCTTTTCCTCCTTACATACTGCTCTCACCACCCCTGTGTACACACAGACCTCTAATTCTTTACACATCCAACAACAGGGAGCTAACTACCCGGGGTTCCCAGCAACCACGATAAGTCAGTTGCGTGCCTTTGCTTAGCCCTTGTTAGAGGCTGCTGAGCGGTCACTGCCTCTGAGGAGCCCTTCCAGCATTCCCCGTCTTGCAGCCCCAGAGCACACCGCTGGCTTAGAACTTGGCTCCTGGGTTAAAGCTTGCCTTCGTGGAACTTTCTCAAGGGCAGAAGCTGTCCTTTTAGCCTCACTGTGACATGTGACACGTGGTAGGTCGCAGCATATGTTGGGAATGAGGCTGTGCCTCTTTCATCCAGCAGGTACTCAGTGAACGTGGTTATAGTAGGGAGGGCTGCTTTGATGGATGAAGACTTAGGTGCATAAGATCTGTAGTGTTCCCTGAACTTCACATACAGTAGCCCCCCCCTTATCTGCAGGGCATAGGCCCAGTGGATGACTAAGACCGTGGATAATGCCAAACCCTATACAGTGGGGCCTTGACTTACGAGTTTAATTCGTTCCGTGACGGAGCTCATAACTCAAATTACTCGTATGTCAAATCAAAAGTGAACGAGTGAGACACGTGATGCCGGGCTGATGTTGTGGCGTTCACTGTGACGTTCACTGCACCAACTAGCAGTGGGGTATCTGAAGCTGGCTCGTAACCCGAATTTTAGCTCGCAACTCAAAGCAAAAAATCGGCCGAGAGACGGCTCGTATCTGGAAAAACTCGTTAGTCGGGACACTCGTAAGTCAAGGCCCCACTGTACATGTTAAGTAAAGTAAGGATGACTTTAAACACAGCACTGCAATATCCTGACACTTGACCCCATGAATGGCTATCAAATGACTAGTGGGCAGGTAGCGTATACAGTGAGGAGAGGCTGGACAAGGGATGATTCGTATCCCTGGCAGGATGGTGTGAGCTTTAAAACTTCAGAAACTGCCGCTAGCCCCGGACTGTGAACCAGGGGGTTGCAGTTTGATTTCCCAGCAGAGCACATGCCCAGGTTGCAGGCTTGATCCCCAGTAGGGGATGTGCAAGAGGCAGCCAGTCGATGATTTGATGATTTGCTCTCATCATTGATGTTTCTATCTCTCTCTCCCTCTCCCTTTCTCTCTGAAATTAATAAAAATATTTCAAAAACAACAGGGCTAAGTGGGGACCTGCTGTATTTGATGTTGTGACCACTCAGCACAGCCCATTGTAGATCGCATGGGATGAAGATAACTATGCTGATGCTAGAATCTGCATTGAACATTGACCGTGACTGGGCTCTCTGCTGTGTGTTTTTTCTAAGGAGTCTAGGGAATTGCCCTGATTTCCATCTGCGTAATCTCTCCCAGTGTGTGCAGTCTTTGGGGCCTTTTGGTCATGGGATGGGCATGTGAACCCAGAGAGAAAAACTCGTTTTTTAAAGCATTTTTTTTACCGCTTCCACAGTACAAGCTCTAACAGAATTGAGTTTGCCATCTGTGAACCACTGTTGAACCCAGACTACCACCTTCAGGCCTCATTCTCAAGTTGTTCCCCTCCAGAGTCAATCTCTCTGGGTGCTAGAAATAACTACCATATCTGTAATAATTCCTTCATACTAGAAGCCTCACATTTTCTTCCCTGATAGGCTTTTATTTTTTAATATATTTTTATTTCAGAA